CCCTCCCGGGGTCCCTTCCCGGGAGGGAGCGCCCGCGGCGTGGGAGCCTCCGTGGGCGGAGGGAGCGCCGTGGGAGCCTTCACGTTGTTTAATGGAGCGTGGAATACCGCCTGTATCTTCAGCGGCGTGAGCAGAGCGCGGGTCGGCTGAGGTGGTGGTACCTGGCGCGTTTCTTAAACGTCTTGCCCCCCAACAAGGTGGTTTTTATTCGAAGTTTGCCGTTTTGCTGCAGGTTGTGCCCAGTTTCCCGCCTGGAAACCTTAAACGGGCGGGGATGGGGCTTTGGTCGGCGGCCGCCCCGCCTGGCCCTGGCGCGGGCGGGTTTCCTGAGGGAACGAGTGCGGGCAGGGGGGGGGCCGGGCTGCGGGGGCGGGCAGGGCCGGGGGGCTTCGGGGGGATGTTAGTTACTCAGGGCTGACTAGTTCTTTCCTTCCCTCTGGCCTTTGCTGCTAAGGAAACTGGTTGGTTTGCAGCACATACTCCTGCGTGCAGGAATTGTTCATTTGGTGGGGGTTCTTTGCTGTTTGTAAGCAATCTACTTAATTTTCTATTAAAAGACTTACAAAATTTCTTGCAGTAAGCTTTTCTCAGAGATATAAGCAAATATTTTTATTTTATTTTTAATACAGGAGTTGCTCAGGGTGATGAGGACAATCGATGACAGAATCGTCCACGAATTAAACACTACGATTCCAACAGCTTCCTTTGTGGGGAAAATTGATGCTGGCCAGACGTGTAAAGAGCTGTATCAGTCTGTGAGTGTGTACTCCTTCGACTTCCAGCTCGCTTCCTGATGTTTTATTATGCGCAGTGGCCAGTAGAGCATCCCCCGTTTCTAAGGAAAGCACTGCCTTGATAGATCGTGCTTTACGTATCCATAACTGGCATGCTCAGCTTCTCTGCACAGCTCAACCACGCGCGTGTAACAGCTACTTCAGTTTAAAACCATGCAGGGAACTTACTTGTTCTGCAATACCGATCCTTTGAGGTCTACTTCAGGCTTCAGTGGATGGTGTTAGCCCAGTCCGCTTCTTTTAAAAATGGGTGCTAGCACGCTTTTGCACTACTTCGCGAGACTCCTGCCCGTGTGTATCTTTGACTTTTGATCAAGTTGGTACAACACAACTCAAAGCAGTGTTGCTTCCAACATATGGATTATAGAGTCAAAGGGATTTCTATAGGCGCAGCAATACCTTGACTTTGGAAAGTCTCTCTTAAACTTGTAACTCGGAGGCTTTTATTCTCTGCTGAACTAGTTGTTGTGACTTTCTTTCTCTCCCCACTTAGTTGATGGATGCTCACACCAGCAGAGAGAGAATCATCAAAAACTGCATCGCTCAGACTTCCAGCATAGTGAAAACTCTCAGAGAAGAGAGGGAAAAGGCCCAGGATGACGTAGCATTATTAAAGCAACTCAGGAAGGAGCAGACAAAGGTGAGTGGTGGAGCTTTTCAGAGATCACTTAGATAGGAAGAAGAGGGTATCTTTCCCAAACGGAAAGACCAGTGTGATGGAGAGAACATGAAGTGGATCCTGACTCAGGCAGTCTTTTCCAAGGGTCTTGTTGGATGGGTTTGTGAGAACCATTTCCCCTAGCCCACAAGACAGAGCTGCTTTTATCTTGCAAGTGGAGCGTTTTCTGAGATCCCGTTGCACAAATGCTATAGAAAAACGTGTACTTCCCCACGGTGGATTCTAACCTTCACTGACTAACGCCACTTAGCGTACAACTTACCTGTGGCTTGCTTAGTCCTTTCAAAATGCCTGAAGGTTCATTTTGCCTTTCTGAGAACTTTTAAAACTAGTATATCTGCAAACGGCAAGTATGGGTGCCAAAATGCAAACACCAGAAGATAATGAAATACGGCTTTTGTGTATGTCTCTTGCACCACACAATTACGCAGTCTTAAAGCTGTCTCTTTTCATTATCACCTTGAGAAGCATCGTTCTTACTTGATGTGTTAACTGGAGTTCCTGTCCTCTACGAGGAGCTGCCAGGCAACCTTGAATTCCACTTAACCGACTTTTTTGTTGTTTAGTATTTCTTGGATTAATTTTTTGAATACATTGTGATGGTGTGAGAGAGACTTCTGGGTTTGCATAAGGAATTTTAATGAGCAAACGCCCTCTCGACCTTCTGGCCTCTGGATGGAAAGTGTACTTCACCAGAGGTGAACAGAGGTGATCTAGATGGAGTATCAGAAGTGGAGAAGGGAACGCCGCTGAAGTTCTTGCCCCCATTCCAGGGCTTCCTTTGTAGGGGAAAGGATACTGCATGTGTAGCTCTAGGAGCAGAGATTAGCAGGGATGTGAACTGGTCCATTGATTTCTCTACCAGACCCGCTCTGTGTGGCTCGTGATCACTTTACATTTTTTTTTCCACGCCATATGCTTGCAGCACATACCAAGTAAGACTGCTTGCTTATTGCTTTTTTTGTATACTCTGGCTAAGTGTGTCTGTTGTGTTCAGCAGTTTAGTGAGCCTTCCTCTGTTGAGGACTGTCTTAACCAGTGCTTTTGAGTTCCCAATGTAACCGTGAGTTCTTCTCATAACAGCCAGACATCCCACCATCATATATATATATGGTGTCCTATATAGGGTCCTATATCCTGGATACAGCTTTCCCTGCTGCAGTACTGTAAGACTTGAAGAGATCGGTCCTGAATTTTGCTTTTACAGTGCTGAACTTCCTCAAAATCCACTTGCCTCTGTACTTCCAAGAGGAGCCTGTTGTAGCCCCTGTTTCAAAAGCAGTTGAATGCTGATGCAGTTGTAGTTAAAGGGCTTCCTGAGGAGATGATTTGAACTCCAGCATCTGATTTTTCCCAGGCACTGAGTGAACTGTTTGTTCATGTGCTCTGTCATGAGCTCAGATTTAAAGAACCAGGTGGCGGGCAAGTGGTTTTATTCTTAAAGCCTCACTTACGGAACTGCTAACAAGCATTCATATTAGTTTGGAAAACTAGAATGGTAGCTTAGTATTTTCTACAAATTTGTTTGCAGAACCAATTATTTAAATTGTTTACTTAGCCCAAAACCTATCATTTGCTAGGAGGACCGCAATGATAATGTTTAATAATTGGAGGTGATTTTAAATGTTAAAAGTAATCCATGATTTGGAAACATCCCAAAAATCTTTTGATGAGATGACCTCAAATTTGCACTTGGACTTTATGAGGTGTCGTCCCCCCCGCTTTTTTTTCTTTTGTTCTCTGTAAGAGTTGTACTTTTTCTAGAACTCAAATAAAGCCAATTCTTTTAGCCCACTTACATTAAATCATCATTTGATTATTGTATTAATTTGTTATCGTCTTCGTTTACTTGAATGAAGTGTCATAAAATAGCCAACCAAATAAATTCTGGAAATCCAAAACATACAGCATAATGATTATTAGCTTTATCAATTGAATTAGTAAGGCTTGTTAAAATGTCAGAGTATGTTTTAAAAACAACAACAACAAAAAAAAACCCTGTATAGCCGTGTTGATTAACACTATATTTCTGTTCAGGTCTGGAACTCTAAGGAAAAGGCTAAAATAGTAATTTTGCTTAGGCTTGGTGTCAATGGCAATTAATGTGACAGTCCAGATGATTGTAAACCTATTCACATCCTCCAGCAGGAAAAACGTTTCTTTGAACTGCTAAAGATCTTCTGAGTGGTTATTTTATAGAGACTGATCCTGGTCATCTAGTCACTCTGCTGATGCTGGATTGCTATTTCAAATAGTTTGGGGTCCTATTGAGTAGGTAAAAGTTCATCCAACAACTGTATTAGCTGTGTGTGTCTGGACATCTTACTTGGAAGGTTTTTGATGGGATTGCTGTCTTAGCTTGCACCTGTTCACCAGCTCTCCAATTGGAACCATGTATTTAAAATGGATAAACTCTGATTCTTAGTCTGTTGTGTTAAAGACTCCAACAAAAATACATCCTAAATGTAGGCAAAAATGGCAGATGGTTCTTATATCTCCTACTATTGCTTCAGGGCCTCATGGCAGGATCAAATTACCACAGGTCACCTGAACACAACTGTCATGTGTGCCCCTTGGAGTTTCTAATAGGTGCGAAACAAAGAGATTCTTAACGTTTCTCATGGGTTGAGTGAGTGCTCGAGAACTGCATATTGTGGTAGTTCTTGCCGGAGCTTTTGCATCCGTGTAAACCTGATTTGTCCTACTGTGATCACATAACATATTAACTGGTTCAGATAGCATGAACATACGTGATCTGTTCTTGTAGACCGTTTTTTTGGTCAGTGCACAGAGTAGATGGCAAAGGAAGCGGAGGGGGTCTCTTTACGATCTTAATTCTAAATCCAGAATCTGAGATCTGCGTGTTCAATCCTATCTTTGCTGCCAGCTCCCTATGACTCTAATAATGTATGCGTGGAAGAATGACAACTCAAGGCTGCAGAGCTAACCCCGGCACTGGCATTCCCCGTGCCGAGTGCTTGAATTAGGTATGGTTACTTTTGTCTGTGAAGCCATTAACGTTAATCAGTTAATTGCTAGCAAATCTTGATGGGCAATACTTAAGAACGGAGCATTAGTAATCAGGAGCTACTTCTGCCAGGCATTGTGAGTGTGCCTTCACTGTGCCCCTGCAGACTTCAGTCTGCCCTGAGTATTGGCCGAATGGAAGGGCCAGACTTTCAGGATGATTACGCATCGTGCCCTTCAGTTTGCACCGTCGGAGGGGATGCAGACCTGGTACTGGGGTTGTGATCTAGAAAGCTGCAATGGTAGTAAATATTGAAGGCTGCAGGGAGACCTGTTTGACAATAACCTCTTTATCTTTTATTTTCTGCAGTTGAAATTGATGCAGTCGGAGCTGAATGTTGAAGAAGTGGTAAACGACAGAAGCTGGAAGGTACTCGCCATTCAAAATAGTGATGGTGATCTGTCCCAACAGATGGTCTTGCACTGGAGGTGTGGGACCGGTGCCTTAGGAGGCAGGTTAATTAGAAATAGGTGAGGGCAGTGCCGGGGGAAATGTTTCAGGTCAGTCATTTTCCCCGTTCTGGATGCAGAGATCAAAGCTTTTCAGTTGCACTGCAGAGGAAAGAAAAGCATCTGATTTAGGGGGGAGGAAAGTGGAGTACTCCCTGCGTAGATCCCTTTCTCCGCCTTGCCCAGTGGCTAAGGACTTTGTAGACTTTTTCCATGGTGGCCTGTCTGAAAAGCTTTGCTCGGCCTCTAACAATGTCAGAGGGATGAGTCTTTCAAATTTGGCTGTGTTTGGTACTGATCATGCTTCTGAGCAAGCAGAGGCCAGAGGAGGGTGGGGCTGTAGAAGTTGAACCTTTTCCTGATGAAGCTTCTGCGGGCCTCCGCTGATGCTCCCTGGTGCAAAGGGCAGGCTTGCCGTTGCTCTCCTGTGTCAACAGAGGGGGCAGATCACCCTCTGGATTGATGGCCGCAGACACTGTCTTGTTATAAAGTGACCTTAACACTGAGGTTAAATTCTGAAGTGGCTGTATTCTGTCACTGCAGCATTTCAGGTCTAGCATCCTTTTCTCATTTGTTGTAGCTTTTCAGAGCTTTCAATACCGTACAGAGAACCTCTTTCCCTCTCTAAATGCAAAAAGGATTTTTGCAAATAGCTAGTATTAGCTGCAGCTCCCTTTTTAATCTCTACTTCAGGATTTTAGTCCTCTAGATTGCATCAGCATAAATGCAATACAGCTTGTGTATTCTTGGTGGTCTAGTCACCACAATACAGGTCAATGCCAGCTGATTAGATGAGCATCTACACGTTTTTCTAGGTATGCTTTGCAGTCAGTACTGCTTCTGTACTGTCTGAAAAAGCTATTTATGCCTTTAAACTTAATTAATTTAAAGCCAGCTCAGATATGACTAAGCAACAGCACAGCCTTAACAACATGCTGCAGGCCACCAGTGGCAAACATTTTATGGCAACTCTGCTGTCAGTTTTATTTAAAAGGGGTGGGGGGAAGACCCGCCCCACACTATCTCCATTCTGAAGCCGAGAGTTGGCACCAAAGTTAGCACTGATGCCAGTGATTTTCTGTAGCTGCATTAAGCTTTTGCTAGTGACAGAAATGTCCAATTTTTCCTGAAGATGGAGAACGTTTTGTTTCTAAATAGTGAGTTATGCATGGTGCAGGGATATCTTAGCCTGTTAATGTTTAAAGTAGGGCTTGAAGAGAAAAGTATTTCTGGGTTTTATCTCCAGCTCTGCTATTGTCTCTGTGTGAATATAGGCATAAATGTCTCATTTAGCTGCCTGTAAAAATATGTCACTGAAGGAATTAGACCCAGTCATAGCTGTGGACCGAGTGCAATTTGTTACATGGAAGTGGTTATTGGTTTGCAGGTGAGGACCTCCACTCTTTTTTACTGTTGCAGACTTTTAGTTGGAAAGTACACTTAGATATTTATATTAACCCTAACCAACTGAAAACTGATTGGAAAAATCTGATTAGGAAACAAAGTTATTTTCAAACACTTACTCTGGGTAGCTGTAGCAATAGTGGCATACAGAAAGATGCTGCTTTATAGAAATGTACGTGGCAGAATTTTGTTTGGCTGATATCAAACAAGTAATTGACTTCCAAAACAAGACACTTGCATTAGTCTCTGTACAGCACCTCCGCACTGGAGTTTATCATTGGAGTGTTCTGTATTAATACGTAAAAGACAGCAGAATCAAACTTCTGCATAGTAACATGAATGTTAAGGTTTCTCAGGCACTGTTTTTTCCTGTCTGAAAAATGAGAATAGCACTTCACAGGTAGACCAATGGAGTTAGCTGGCCTGAGTAACACGCTGAGATCTGTTGGTCAATGATCCTAAAAGTAGGAGGCAGTGTTAGTAAGATTGCAGTATTGATCTTCCTTCCGTAGGCTGCAGAGGTACTGTTAAAGATGCTTTAAAAGTTTGCATGATAGCAAGGTGGAAGCTGCAATTTTTTTGATGTGTTGTTTGACGCAAGAGACCCTTACAGTGCTTTAGAGCATATTTCCAGTACCCTTTAAGACATATATGCCCTTAAAATTTCTTTGACAGACAATGGACAAAAATGGTGCAATTTATTTAGTATTAAAATGCTTCTGAATGGGAACCCTTTGTGGCTCTTAATTTCTACAGTTTCCTTCTATCGCTTATCTGATCTCAGACCTTTACATACTCTTAACTCTTCTTGTCCATTGCATGTGGTAACGTAGTGGGACAGGCTGTCTGTGTGCATGTGAAAGAAACTGTATCACAACTTTTGTTTTCTGCAATATGAAGCAGTTTCTAATAGGTGTCTGTTTCTTAAAGTAAATTAGATCTGAAAATAAGTTGAAAATGACTCAAAAATTGTTAAGAATAAATGCTAAAACTAATGCATGCTGCAAACATCACTTTTGCTGAAGTTGCCAGAGGTTCTGAGCTCTGAATAAGGAGATCAGCTGTAGAAGTAGAAGATTCTAGGAAGATACAGTTTAAAATAACGTGTTTATATAAAGCGATGCGTAACTTCCCCAAAATTACAAGACCACTCACTTTGCACGTGAAGCCAATGGGGGAGTTCACGAAATTTAACATCCTGAAGATCACAGGCATTTGGATCTGAAAAGTCTCTGGACAGCTTGGCAAAACGTGCTCTTGCAGGAGTGCTGGTGGGGGAACTAATAACCACGAGTGCCTCAACTTGGTGCTAGGTGGTGCTCGTGTTGCTTTCCAGGACACAAGCTGGACAAAGTTTGGCGCCAAAACGATAAATAATTAAATCGCTTGTAAAGAGCACCTGTAACTTTGGTGTGAGCCTATGTGTTGTGCTTTTGATTCAGACTGCCATACTTTAAATAGTAACATTTATTGGCCCTCCTTAGGGTAAGCAGTCTGCTTGACAAGGCCTGCAGTTCAAGGTAAATGAACGTGATCATCAGTCTCTAGTTCTGTGTGCTAAATTTTAGCCAGAGAAGGTGCCAGAGGTGAGTGAGGTGAGAGCAGTGTGCCCTTTGCAATAGGAGGGTTGGAAGCATCAGCACCTGCGGTCAGATAACTAAAAGTGTGAACGTGGCTTCCAAGAGCCCTTGCACCTCTTTTTAGCTGTCACAACAATGTAAAATGCATTTGTTCAGGAAAGAGAAGAATACAGTGTCCAAGTTGAATGCAATGTAAAATGCATTTGTTCAGGAAAGAGAAGAATACAGTGTCCAAAGTTGAATGCCAGATTGAACTTAACAGAACACAGCCGGTCAGGAGCCTTCCACTGATAATTTCCCTCCTTCTTAAAAAAAAAAAAAAAAAAAAAAAAAAAAAAAAAAAAGGCAGCAGCATCATCTTTGAGGATAACAGACTACCAGGATTATAAGCCTGCCTTATCTGAGGGAGAACACTTTTAGTGCTGTGCAGTCCCCCAGCATCAGGCTGCAAACTTTGGATTCACTAAAGCCAGGAGAGAAAGTGAATGGAGACAGATGCCTTGGTAAGTACCATTTATTGGTACAGCAGGGCTGGGCAGCTTGAGATGGGTGCTACGTGAAGAGATAGTTGCCTGAACTAGCTCTGAAGTTCTGATCATCTCCTGGATGAGGGCTGATTCGCTTTTGCTCTTCTGTTTTGGTGTCTCAGGTATTTAATGAGCGTTGCCGAATTCACTACAAGCCTCCGAAGAGTCAATGATGTGGGGTATTTTCCATCAAGGTGGTCCATAACCATGAGAGCCAAACTGGAAAGAGACCTTGGGTGAGCTGTATTGGGACCCTCCAGAACCAGTAGAACCCAGTCTTGTTTTGTTTTGGACCTACTTAGCTGAAATCTCAAGGTTGAAATGATTTTCCTGTAATTAAGAGAAAACAACTCATCTTTTGTACAAAATATGTGAACAAATGAGTTTTATAGTATTAAAATAATTTTCAAATGGAATGTGAAACTGGCATCTTCCTTGAACTTCTACAGCTTCAGTAGTCCTAGAGGGGAAAAAACGGTAAAAACCAGCTCTGAGCAGGGAGGACAGGGCTCTCCCTGAACTGATGCTTGCCAAACTATCAGGGAACATGGTGTGTTTGTGCGAATAATCTACTACAATCTGAAAGGAAATAAAAACTGCAGAATGATCAGCAAGTGTAGGTTCAGCATCCCTGAAAGTAAGAAGCTACCAGCATTGTTCTGGTAGCATTGCTACTCAACGCTAGCAGCATTGGTTCAGAGTTGCATGTGGATACAGGTTTGCCGTTGTTCCCACAGTGCTCACAGGCAGCATCTGTTGCATACTGTCCTTTGGTCTGTGTTACCGCGTTCTGGATTTTTTCTTTAAATAGGAAACGTGGTGTCAATTAAAACCACTTTGGGTTGGAGATGAAGATATATCTCATTCGGGAATGAGACAGTTAACTATCCGGTGACCCTATTTTGTCCCTCCTTCTGAACCTTTAAAACTAATTCTATAGGTGAATTGCATTTGAACTGAGAAAATAGCTGTGCATACCTGATCCTGTTGATTCTGGCCATAGTGTTGTATTCAGAAAGCTTTAAACGCGTCACCCCTGCAGTAACACAGCATTTAAAAGCAGATAAGTATGAGGAAATCAGAATTGCTGTAATTATACCTTTATTTTTTACTAGCTTTAATTGGCTGACAGTCAAATGACAAGGTCTGCTTAGTTGCCAGCTGTTTTTATTACTTAGCGATAAATCTTTAAGAACCATTGAACTTGAACAGAGCCTTAAAAATACAGGCCCCATCTTGCAAACACTTTCAGTTACAGCACTGAAATGACTATATATTCTCACATCCTTAAAAGTTGTGCATATATGGGGGGTGGGAGGTAAATGGAAGAATGTACCTGTGTTGCTGAAAGCTGGCAAAAATCTGTGCAGCATCATCTGTTTTATAGTTGTTTGTCCAGTAGAGACTTGAACTACTTGGTGGCCTTTATTTTTAGGCAGCAGAGTCATTTAGTCTCACTTTTCTCTGAAAATGAGGCAGAAATGTATTTTAAGTCTTTGAGGATGTAAATCCTAATGTTCAAACGTCATATTTTTCCTTTTTTCCCAAGGTACTGCAACTGCTCTAAGCAGAACTTTACTCCAGTTGGAGCGCTCGTCTCGCTTTTGAAGTATTCCCATTGTTTTTCTGCAACTCTGAAAGCAGAAAGCATGTTTGTTCTTCAACTGTTAAATTCTTATAATTGTTTATCTCAAAGTGGAAATCAAATACTGCTCGGAACTGTGGGCTGAATTGCCAGTAACCTAATTTCCACAGGAGATGGTCCACTAATGAGATGTTGAGAACAGTTTTGATTTCAAAGTTGGTGCTCTAATACTGACCTCTAGTATAGGTGTCTAAAATATTTGTTCTCTCCAGGGCTTGGGTCTACAACTGCGGGGACAAATTCTCCTTTTAAGCCAGCTGTATGATAGAAACTTCTGCCAGCGTGTATAGAGTTGGCATCAATACTCTTGAAATTTAAGCTTCTATTGTACTTCTGTAGTAATTAGAGATTGTAATGAGAGTTAATCACTGTCCTCCTCTATCCATCCAGATGTTTGCTCAGCTGTTGTGGGAAAACTTCTTCACTTAAGCAGATGCTGTGAAAAATGACCTGTGAAATGGATGTGATACATGTGCAGATTTTTTTTTTTTTGCAGTAGCCCAGCTTAGCATTTGTTGTGAGAAAACTATGTTAAAAAAAACCAAAACCCAACCCCAACATAGCACTATTTTTCATTTGAATATAAGGCCAAACAAGTAGATCTATACAAACCTGTATATGAAAAACTGCTGACACCATAAGAAGACTTCTAAGTCCCAAACATCCCTTCTTCAGGTGTTTGCAGCTTATATGCAAAGGGTTGCACTAAGAAGTTGAATTACTCTATTTAGTTTGCTCTGAGCACAGAGGGATATCTCTTACAGTACATGGCAAATCACATGGATCAGAGGCTGTTTGAATCTTGCTGTTGAACTTAGTGGAACGTTAAGGTGAGTAACTGGAATTGCATGCCATGCTTTGGGGCATGGGGAAGGAGAAAAAGGCTTTGCTATTTTTTGAGTACTTCAGATCTGCCTGTGAAGCGGGATGTTTTGTGATGGTATGTAAATGGCATTGGTATGAGCTGTGGACCATACTAAATAAAGGCAGGTAAAATCTCTGTGTCTAGCGAGCTCTGTCCATTCTAGGATCATGCCTAGTCTGCAGTTGAATCCTGCTTCAACTTTACCATCAAGGTAGTCACAAAATTACTTGCCTGCTTGATGTCATATGTGAATCAAATAATGGACCCCACAAATACTAGGATTTCATCCTTTTCCTGGTTCTAACTTTATTTCTGCAAGTAAAGGCACTTGAACAAAAAGCACAGCTGATGCCCCTGCCCAGAGTCTAGATCTCCTGCAGGTGGCTTCCCCCTCTACTGGGGCTTTCCCATTGCTTGGAAATGGTGAATATAGGTGGGCAGATCCCAGTTCCTTGGAAAGCCCTCTCAAGTGTGTGCTTCTTATGTCCTTCTGTGAAATAGAAAGAGGTGTTTTTTTCTGACACTCATTGCTGTTGTCTTCTGCAGCCTGTAGGCACTCAAGACTGATGAAATAGGTAATCTCTTTACAGAAATTTTTTAAGGATAGAATTTGGTTGTCTTGAAGCAGGCTGAGGGGAAGAGGCTCTGTACTGGTACCATAGGCTCAGCGTAGGCAGGGATATGATAACTTTGTGCTGCTAAAGTTCAGGTTTCTATTAATCCTAGTTGATGTACAATGTCAGAAATCTTTTGAAATCAGGGTGGGGAGCAGGAGGGGAACCTTCTTTGCAGACCAGCACGTTGAAAGTCAAGGCTGTTGTTACTGTGACGATGACAAGTAGATCCTCAATTGGTAGATGGAGGGCTGCTTTCCTTTGGCAGCTCTTAAAATTTAGTGCAGACCATGTGTCATTTCATCCAGTCACAATTACGTGTCTTGTCACGGCGAAACCAGAAGACTGACCTACTGACTTAGCTTTCACAATCATTTTTACAGAGGTGGCTTAATTTCTGGTTTAAAAATAACTCATAAATACATAACCCTGGGGTCTGGGGTTGTGTGTGTTTGCTTTGTTTTGTTACTGTACTGGTGTTTTTATTGACTATAGCTTCTACTTCTTAAAATTGCTTATGCAGGACCAGAGAGTAGTGGCCTGCAAGCTGTAAAGATTTGTTTCTTCATTATTGGAATAGTACATAGTGCAAGATGTTTCTCAGCTTTAAAACTGTAAAGAATACTAGTGCTGTTCTCCCAGCACAGATTCCCCAAGTTAACAGCAGTACAGTTACGTGAAAAGAAATTGCCATCTGTGCAAATGGTGAGCATAGGCTGGAATGGTATGTAATATCAAACACGTCTCCAGTACTAAAGTGGAGACACTCACGAGCTTGCTGATGTTGTGCAAGAGATGCAATGGGGACGGCTGTTGTTTTCAAGGCAATGTTCCAAATGCTGTTTCATTACATCCAAGCTTAGTAGAGAGAGGTGTGGATGAGGGTTGCCTAGGATTGTCTGTTGCCACTGATCGTCTTTGATAGCAAGTCTGTGAAACGTCATCATTTCAAAGTGACTTCGTGAACTATGTGTGCAGGATGAGTACTGCATCCCAATCTTAGAAATATCACTGGATTTTGGGATGGCCATTAGCACTCCCACGGAAAGAAAACAAGACTGATTTGCCTATGTAAACTTTAGCGTCAGCTTGCTTACAGTTAGTGTTGATTTTCCTTCCCTTCTGCACAACTCTGCATTCTGGGGGAAAAAAAGAGTTCTTATGCTTTGAAGTCAAAAAACCAGCAAACCCAGAAATATGGAGTCTAATGAATGATTTCCACACAATATTAACATCTTTAGTTTCACACCTAGAGTTCTCCCAAGATTATAAATTAACCCTCCTAGTCTTTGTGCTCAGTGTATTTCTTACTAACCAGAATCAAGGGTTCTCCAGGGGGGTGGTGCTGCCTTGGGGATCTTATCAGCATCCCTTTCCAAGGGAGTTAGTGAGATCTGCATCCCGGTGAGTGGAGAAGTTTATAAAATGTCCTGGTTTAGCACTGGCACTGCATGTTGTTGGACACATTCTGGGGCTTCTGGCCTCAGTAAGGTGAGCTGGCTCTTCTAGCTAGTTAGCTCATCTGTCCTGCTGTGTGAATAAGATGCATGGTAGTAACGTGGTGGAAGATGATCAGCATTTGAGTGAATCAGCAGGGTCTTGTGCAAAAGGTGGAGTTTGAGCTTATCAGCTTGAATTGTCATTAACTCCACAAATCAGGCTGTGAGGAACTCCTCATCTGGAGTGGTGAATTTGGAGAAAATGGCAGACTTCCAGCTTTAACACCTCCCATTCCCTTTATTCCCAAGAACTGGGAACATTTTTCTCTTCAGAAAGATGTTGTCTCAGGACAACTGTTCTTCCTCAAATGCCTTTCACCACTCCCATAACACTGCTGCTCAAGTTTGGGAAATTCTGCAACATCCTTATCGGTAACATGCTCTAACCTTGATCTATATACTGTTGAATTTAGGGCCCTTACCGACCCAGTTTCTCAATCTTAGGTCCTTTGTCCCAAAAACAGGCCTTGAAGTTAGATATGAAGTACTTGTTTACAGTCTGTTGCATCACTCATCGTATGTGAGGAGGGTCAGCAGGTTGCTTAGGACACTAGTAAGTCTGTGCTACACAGTCACCATTGCTGTGGCCATGAACAGACTTGTTTCTAGCAAATTCCCTAATGCTGATTCCAGCAGAAATGCCCATTGCCTGTGTGCAGCACATATTCTCATTTCACCCTCCCATGTACTCACCCCTAGGGACTAAAAATTGTCTGGTCTGTTGCTACTTCTCTGGTCCTCGCTCTGGAACAACATTCTTCCCATTTGCTGGAGAGGGGGATGGCAGGAATACCGAAGGGAAGTAGTTTTTCTCTGATCTTGAAGTGTTAGCTCTCCCTTACCAGGTAGGGCTGCTAACAGTTGCCTTTCTCAGTAGGTTCCATGTGTTTTGACCTTTGTACATTCATACATAGTCATGAATATGACTATGTCATGTGTCTGTGGCTGTAACTGCAGAATGAATACTTCTGACTGTATATTCTGCACGTTACATATTTCAGCAGTGTGTGAAATACAAGTATCTTGAAATTAGAGCAGCTATTGTGCACACACAACTACTGTAGTGAGAGGGATCATACTTTGTCTTCCAGGAAATTGGCACTAGAGTTTCAATAAAAATGTAAATGGTACCGCATATTCAGTTGTTGTTATGCTTGCCTGAATGCACCTATACGTTTGATAGGAAAGAAGCAGAAATAACTTATTTGCAGTACTTACCCGAACCTAGGATTTAATTTTTTCCCCCTTCTGGTTTTGGTGTTTACCTTGGCACCTTTCTGGTCAGGCAGAGGGAAGTAAAGTCACTGAAAGTAAAATGCAGTTTGCTTCTGTTTCCCACTTGGAAGGATATTGAGACAATACAATTTCAAGTTGAACGGGACCTGCACCAAGGAAATTACTGCATGCTTTCTTCTGATCTTGAATGGTGTTGGGAAATATTGGGTGTGACTTTGATCCATTTCCTAAGTGCACAGGCTAGTCATCTGCACATGGGTGGAGAGGCAACAGGTTCTAGTTTCAGCCCAAACCAACTGTCTTAAGATGTGGGTGTCTGGAGGCTCTTGTTTGCTTTTTTTATTGATGTGGAGACTATATACACTTAAGATTTTAAAGTGCTTTTTAAATTTACTATTATTATCATCAGTGCTTTACACTTCTTTTTTTCCCCGTTTTTCCCCTGTTTTCCCCATTTCTCTTCTCCAGTTCAGTAATGGTAGGCTCCATATGTTGCAAGTCATATGATTCTATGACACGTGTATGTGTATATGTATATATATGAGAAGCCTGGTGACTCTGCTCAGACTGTGCTGAACTTCCCTCTTCAGAACCACTCATCGTTTCAGAGAAGTTACCTGCCACTATGATGCCTGGGGGCTTATCTGAGACCAAGTCTGCTACTCCAGAAGTCCAGCATATTGTTAACGAGGTGAGTTGCAACCTATCTAAAGATGCAGTCTCTGTGCAAAGGGCTGAGTCTTGAAGCTTGGGCAAAGGCTGGGAGGCCAGGTGGTGATACTGAACCAGTGTTTGAACTGAAGAAGCTAGTGCTGAAAATGGGAATCCCCTTGATTGCCAGTAAGTATTTTCTCAGCATTCTGCATAGGCAGTGTACCGGCAAGACCGAGACAAACCACTTCTCTGTCTCATCCTTGTCTATAGCCAGGTATAGTACTGGCTACCTTCAGGTAGTGTTTGCATGTAATTCAAAGACTAGCTGTACTATGCCAGCACTGAGGTTGCTTTTTTGAAATTAAAGGTGGTGTATTTGAAGGGAGAAGATTGTACCTGGTAGAATTAATTCCTTACTGAAGGACATGGCTAGGACAAACCATGTGGTAGTATGCACTAAAAAAAGATATATACAGGACAAGGCTATGGATAAAGGCATGTTCTCTGCTGGCATCTAGTGTTTTCTAAAGTCACAGCTGTGATGCAGGGGCTACTGGTGAGCCAGCGGGGCAATGTGAGCTTGGCACAAGGCAGGCAGGGTGAGTCCAGTTGCCATGGTGGTTGATTGCAGGCAGCAGTCCTGTCCTGGAAGCAGCTGTGTGAACAATACCGCTGCAGATCCTCTAACGCCCTGCAGTACAGCAACTCTTAAAAGAGTATAAAGTGCATCCTGAGGAGCGGGAGGGGAACAACATGGCATGGGAAAGCTCCTTTTGTGTCTCCCATCTCATGTTCCCACCCACCCAACCAATCCTCTTCACCCTCCCAGCTCTGAGAGATGAGCTCTTCCCCCTTTGGCAACTGCACAAAGCATAACTTATGCCCTCCTTGAGGAAACAAAAATAGGAAGTAGTGGGCTGAACATGTTGGCCAATACTGCTGCACAATCCTGTGTGTGCAGGGCTCCGAGCTCCCTCCTTTGCTGTGCCACAGAGGACAGAGTTTGCACCGGCACCATTCCACATCTCCTGCGAGCTTGCAGGCTAAGACCAGGCAATGATGAAATCAGACGAAGGTGAGCTGGGCTGTGCATGCAGAGGGGCAGAGCCACCAGGAGAGATCTGTATATAGGCTGTGTAGGCTGGTGTCAAGAGTCCAGTACCCTGACCAGGTTCTTTTAGATATTCCACATGTGGAGGGTATAATGTTTAATATCAGATTTACTTATTTGAAGATATTTATGTTACATGAGGTTTCTGATTTAGCAGAGTGATACAAATATACTGGTAACACAATACAGATGTAAGTTACTTTTAGCAAAACACAGCAATTGCAATACACAGCTCAATCACCATATACCAATAGGATTTCCATTACTGGTCTCTATAATATGCTCACTGTCCTGACGCTGGGCATTCTCAGTCACCAGGAGGGAGTACGTGGGTTGAAGCCAGCTCAAGCCTGCTGCTCTCTTTGAAATTCTTTTGTTCGTGGTTTAGTTTTTATACTCTGTGTTGGGCAGAGCCACGTATTCACTCCCCCGTGCTGGTCTGGCTAACTCAGGGAAGCGTTCGCATTCTTTTAATGAATGCAGGGAGTTACACCACCAGTTGATCCACTCAACTGACGTAACTGTTTATCTAAAACAAACACCCTCTGGTCCCCTTTGTGTTGAGATAAAGTCAGCTTCTTTGCAAAAGCTGTGGTCAGTCATGCCCTGCATTATTTTCTGAGTTTCGTAGGCACATCGCCCTTGCCCAGCTCCTCTGAGCCTTCTTCCATTGTAGGGCTTTATTGGTCAGTCACAGCTGGGGTTGCCAGAGTTGGGCATGTGTACATGGGGAAGGGCTAGAGTATGTGATAACAGGTTAGTCAGAGGGGAGATAATTTACTGCAGAACCGAAAGGGAAAAGGATTATCTAAAATTGTTTGTGGGTCACTCAGGAGCAGTATCACTGTTCCTCCTATGCTGGCACAAGTAGTTGAAGGAGCAGCACTTGTGGAGATCAGAAATTCCCTTTTACCTTTAGAGGGGAGACCCTAGGCAAGGACTTGTGGCACCTTTGTGTATTTGCAGTTCTTGTTTCCTCGTGTGTAAGACAGGGAGGGCAATGTCTCAAGCCCCCTATCTCCTGGGGGCTGTGAAATTTGGCTAATGAGTCTGTAAAATACCTTAAGGGCCTCCTTTGAACACGGCTAGGCCAGTGTGGCTTGCCAGATACCAAGCTGTGTTTTTAATGCTGGGCTGTGTTATGGGTGATCAGAAGATCCTACCCTATTGCAGTGTGTATCAGAGATGAAACCGTGGTGCTTAACTGTCAGCGAGCAAACATGCGCTTAAAAATGTGTGAACGCTTGTTCCAGGCTGTGCTAATGCTCACGAAGTACAGGGCAAATATGGAATCTGAAATGTGGATGTACAGATTTTCTGTTTGATTCCAGAAGAGGACTGATCTTAATGTTGGTGTTCTTCTGTTCTCAGTAACTTCAGGAAAATGAAAACAAATTTTTGCTCTTTATTTTCTGCAAGGTGAAATTTTTGCCTTGTGCTGAGCGCAGGAGAGAGAACTCTCCCTGGTCCTTTTCCTTTGAAAAAGCTTACGCTCCACTGCAGAGGCTTTGATATAGTCCTCTAAGGAAAATACTCTTGTGGAGACAAACCTTATGTTGGGGCAATCCTGCTCTGCTTCCAGCCAGATAACAGTGTCACCCTTTCATGATGCAATTCTGTGGGATTTTATGCTCTGCTAAGAGGCAGAGCAATTCATACGATTTTCGTGAAGCTGTGAAGAGCATCTGCAGACCTTGGGATGGCCAAGGTCTATCTGCTCTTGGGATTACATAATTATTTACTTACACCTGTGCCTTGCCTGTAGTCATCCTTAGCGAGCTGCATCAGTCTCCTTGTTTTACAGCTGTTGCCTAAAACTGAGGAATGTTTTTGGTTTAAGGAACTGTTAGATAAGCGCTTAGGAATGTTACACTTTTCTATCTGAGGAGTAAGGAGCTGTCTGCCTGCCTGATTTTACTGAAGGCTCTGTCCCTAAATAACAAGTGGGGGGCGTAGTGGTCAGAGGTTGGGAGAGATCATAAAACTGGAGAGAACTGGCTTTGTTTTGTTTTGTTCTGAGAGAGGTATAATATGTACCAAAAGTTGCCACTTAGGAGCATCCTAGGAGCCCTCAAACCCATCCAGCTGGAAGAGGGTTGGAAATTGAAGTTTCCCTGGTTTGCTAGAGTTAGCAGCTCCCAAGTTGAAAGTATAGCAGTCGGTTCCCAGGAATAGAAGCCCCCTGAAAGCTGCTCAGAAGAAGAGCAGAGTAAGAGATTATGGGGAGCCTGAATATGACAAATTGAAGGCACTGGATAATTTCTGACTGTCTGGAAATGGTTGATCTGGATGTTACTAGGGTGCTTTCTGGGACCTGCCTGCTAGGAAGGAATGCCATGGGAGTGGTAGCCAGCTGTAGGGGGATGTGCTGAGAAAGCCAGTTAATTCTGTGCATTTCTGCGAAAGAGGCGGGTGGTGAGAAGCGCTGACATGCTCCTGGCCCCTCCCGGGGCTGTCTGAGCAGGCTGCCGAGTGGTGCTGCGCTCCTCTGCCCGACTTCTGGAATGCCTCTGCCCTGCGTCAGGCCATCGGCATGGGCATCGTGTGCAGAGGAGAGGCTGTGACCCGGCCTACAAAAGATTGTTTATGCTTTCTAGATGACAGAAATAAGTTTTTGGGTTACATTCGCTGCAGTTGCCTTTCTGTAGGGAATTCATGTCATCAGATGCAAATGACTACAGTAAAACACTGTTACACTGGTACATAAATCATGATGCCTCAGACATCTGGGCAGACTTCCACTGCTGCTCACAGCTGTCTCCCCCGCTCCTCCCCTGCCCTTTCAGCCTAGTAATTATACAAATATTTCATCTCCAAGAGGACAGTACCACTGTAATTGCTGCTGAACTTAAAACTTGCCCTACACTTTGTGTGTTTCAGGAAAAACTGTTATACCTTTTCTTTTTTTTTTTTTAAATACGTATGTGAAAAGTCTGTAGATATCTGAACTGTGCGCTATTTTAAGATCCACAGGGCTTAAACTGGGTACTGTGCATAAACACATCTACCTGAGCTGTGAGTGTGAATGCTGTCAGCACAGAGCGTTTTTTCTTCTGGAACGACATTACCTGCAGCTACTACATAGTGAAGGACCGATGATGTTTATGCAGGTCTGGGGTTGATTTCTGGCTCACAATTTAAAGGTCATACTTCCAGTTTTGGAGATGGAAGTAGATAGTTTAGTCCTGGACCACTGTAACTATTACAGTTGTTTGTATGTTGCGTGGTTCTAGATGTTGAAGGGCGTATATAGTTTAAATTACAGCTTTAGCTGCAGGGCTTCCACCAGCACTAGGATAACTTTCAGGAACTACTCGATCAGGTGGTTGTCTTGATACTCTGAAATAACCCTGTTTGTTTTAAGTCCTTAAAAACATTAAACAGATCAAGTGCAGCTCTGAGGCTGTGAAACACAACAGGGGTCTGCAGCCTCCCAGGCTGACTGGCATGGGCAGAGGTGTTCGAGGCGAGGGGGGCTGACTTGCACCACTGTGTAACAGTGTGGTTGACATGGGGTGTACCCTGCTAGGGAGCATGGCTTGGTACATAGCTACTTTGACAAAGAACTAAAAGGGCAGCAGGTAGCAGTTTCCCTACGCTGAGCAGGAGACAGTTTAGCTGGACAGCTTTCGGGGTGGGGGGAAATCAACTAGGCGGTCTAATTCTAACAAGATTTTAAAGAATGCTGGAGGCAATGCTAAGAAAGAGGGCTGGAGGTCTTGGTGTAAATTGAATTATTTTGGGGGTTCTGGGTTTATTTCGTTAAGGGTGTGTGTTTGAAAGGATGAAAATTGGAGTGGTAGATGTGAAAGAAAAGCTTAAATATGAATCTGCCAACTATTCTTCCCTTTCTTTTTACAGGTGAAGCCACAATTTGAAAGCAGGGAAAACAGGACATACGGCATCTTTAAAGCCATAGTATATAAGACTCAGGTGGTTGCTGGGATAAACTACTTCATTAAGGTTTGTATATATTATAGGAAGGAGTGCTTTGTAGTTCAACAATATAGGTGACTTGCATAGTGGCTTATAGCAAGAAAGAGAAGAAAATGTAGTAGAAAACCATCTGATGTGACTAATAGAGTTAGGGACTATCTCCAGGTGCTTATAAAATTCCTCTGTTTGGCACTGCTGTAGAACAGGAATATAAAAACTTATAAAACATGCACTGTGCTTCTTCAGATGTGAATGATAACTTTCTTAGGATCATCTCACTCAGAGACTATAGATTGCCTTATCAGCTCAAATTATTTGAGCTAGTCATAACTCTGCTCTCCTGTTTTCTTTCAAGGCAAAGTAGCTTTCCTATTGCCTCTATGTCCTCCAGTTGTGCTTATTATGATGAATTTGAAGTCAGCCTGAGGATCTGATGGAGAGTTAGAGTAAATTTAATTTAATTCTAAAAAAACTTAATGCAAGCATCTCATACTCTGCTGACTAGTTTTGCATGCAAGCATGTGTGTTGATGTTTTGGTTCTATGTCATGAGCTGCAGAGGTACAGCCTGCCTGCTAGTTCTTTCTGTATTTTCAGAACCCCCTTTCTGTTGCGGAGGAAAAACGGGTAATGCTTAATTTGGAGCCCTCTGATAGCACCATTCATCCTCTACTAGAAAACCTTACCCATGGATTTGAGCAGCTTTCTGTGAAGTAACACATAAGCAATTGCTGAGCATATTTTGCAAGTGAAGGCTGGAAAGCATTGCGTAGCGGCAGGCTGGCTTTCTGGAAGTAGAGCAAACATTGCATGTGGCTGCTGTATCTTAACCCCATATGTGTGCAGACGTATGCCCGGTAGGATATGCTCCCTTGACAAGGGTCGGAATCTTTTTACTAAAGAAATTGGCAGGTAGGGTTTGGGGGATAGTAATTCTGCAGAGACACATTATGAGCATTTGCTCCACGCTTTTCGTATTTAGTTGATCCTAGGAAGGACAGACACTGCCAAGCCGCCTTCTTTCCCAGGTGTCCTTCCTTAAAATAACTCTTAACGGTTATTTCTGCTCTGTGGGCACCAGGGGATTGTACTGACAGACTACCTATTGTCATATGGCTAGTCTGAGTCTCGCTTACACGAATGATGTTTATCCTTCCCTTGCTCCTGTGAGATGTGCTTTCACTTTGTGGACAAGGTACTGAGTAATGATGAGTAACAATTTACAGGAAGGCTGCAGTAAAGCTAGAAGTCACACCCAGTTGCATTTCTTCCCTTAGTGCCATCTTACTGCTTGCTGTCCTAGGCAATGTCAAATACTTGTCTGCTGTCCATGCTAAGCCTCATGACCAAACTACTCAGAAATGAAGATTGACGTGTTACTGAACTTGGAAGAAATCCATTTATAACACTGAAAACAGATGATTTGTCTCTTCTTACCCAATCTTACAAGTGACAGGAAACACTTACTCATTTTAGCATTAACTGGAATGAGCTCTGTTGCAAGATTCATTCTTTTATACTTCTGAATTTTCCACATCACTAATATTTTACCAACAGACTTATAGCTGAGATGTAATCCAGACCAAGACAAACATAGTGCCATGTTGCAGCCACCAAAAAGCATGCAGAAACCTAGCTTGAACTAAGGCTCATGCAGAGCCTTAAAGGCATTAAACTTTCCGTTACTACTATATACCTCACACAGTGAGAGTGTAGCACCTGTTGTGCTTGGCTCTGCATGTATGAAATTATGTACAACTTCATAGCAAGTCTTTATGTGGGGACTTTCTGGAGGAGAAGGTGAGTTTATTTTAAAAATTATTTCGGCCAGTCACGCTCCCACAAGCACCAAGATGTGTCAAGTTGTCTGTTCAGGCACTGATGTGTTTGCAGTAAGCCTGAAGACAAGGGATCCTGGCTTTCAGGTTGTCATTGCTTCTTAGGACCATGTGCTGGTTTTGGATGGATCTTTCTGTACCTTCTAGGAGCTGACACTGTCTCTGCATCTTGCCCCACCCCTGAGTCATTAAGATTTACTCACCGTCTCTTGTCTTCTCCTGAGTGTCCCAAGAAGCTGTAAGCTGATGTGCTGGGATCTTGATGACCTAAATAGGATGCCATCAAAACCTTTCTCCCGTTGTGCCTTCTGGTGCTTCCACACCCAAGCAGTCCTACTCATTTTCCTGAGTCTGAAGGCTTATATTACAGTTCTTTTCAGGTGTAGACAGTTTCTGCCACCAGTTACTATCCAGACTTGGGTTAAGAGCTGTTGAAGTAAAAATGGAGATACACCTAAAATTAAGCTCCTGAGCAAAGATATTCTTCCAAGTCTGTAAAGAGCATCCTTTTGTTTGAACCTGCTTTGAACCAATGATCCTCACTTTCCTGCTGTTTTGGTTTCTAGGTCCAAGTTTCCGATACCGACTATGTCCACTTAAGGGTGTTTCAGAGCCTTCCTCATGAGAACCAAGGTCCCAGCCTTGTCAGTTTTCAGACTGGCAAAACCAGAGATGATCCTCTGACCTACTTCTGAGAGATGACAAGGAATGGTGCCTCACTTCTGCAAGTCGCATGTGGATTCTGCCTGTGTCAATAAATGCATTAAAATAAGTTTTGAAAGCTATTTGTTAATCATCTAATCTACTGCGTGTCATGTCTTGGTCTGCTGCCTAGCTAAAGCTCGAGTAGGCTCTGAAATACTATTCAAGGCTGTTTCTGCCACCTGAGGTACTATAGCTGTAAGACAGAGCACACCCATTTCAGCTCCTCTTTCCAAAACACTGTTAAGCATCCTCTGAAGACACAAGTTGGGCCTCCTGAGTATACTTCAGGCTTAACTGGCTATGTACTTCAGCATGTGGCTTCTTGGGTTTGCTTTAAGTGCGTTAAATACAAGCTATTGGCCACTCCTCAGTGTGGGAGGGAGATAGATAGATCGGTAATTTCTGGCACGGGGGAATTGAGAAGCCAAACTGTCCTCTAAGTGCAGCTTCACTGTATGGGAGCAGGGTGGGGGGCAGGAATGAGCTCCTTGAAGGAGCAGGAGGACAGGCCCCCTGCCACAGCTGAGACAGCTGAATCCCAGCACTCAGCCGCTGGAGCAGGGAGCGACCGTCCTGACTTAGAGAGTGTGCTTTACTGGAGACCTGTGGAGCTCATTCCCTTTTTTTTTTGGTAGCATCAGCCACGTGCAATGAGAGCAGTCTTCAGCTGAGCTCTGAGCTGACAAAGTAGAGGGCAAGCCCAATCCACAACAAAAATGCTTTCCTGTTAGCAGCTGCTCAGGTAGGGGCCTTTGCATTACCTGCCAGGGAGCTGGGGCTCAGGTGCAAGACATCATTAAATGCGTAAATGGGTTTCGGGCCATGCCTTGCTTGTGTTCATGTTTTGGTGGTGTAGTGAAGGATGGGTATGTAATTGTCACAGGCATATAGTGCCTAGAAAAATGTGGCAGCTGCCCATTTCTCTGCATGCCAGTATCCTGGATCAGATGCTTTAATTCCTCAAAGTGTGAAGACAGCCTGTGGCCTCCTGTGACTTTGGGAGTGGTCTTTCCCTTGTGCATCTTAATATAGTTTCCACAAGAGTGCAATCCTGCAGTCTAACGTTACAAATCTTTTAAGATGCAGCAAGTCTGGCATTATCAACACTAACTAACATCCTCTCACAAGAGTAGCGTTTGGGGAAAAATGCTCAGCTTTTTGAACCATGAAAACACTTCAGAGTGGGGAGTTACCAGCACCAAAAAAGACCCTGTGTCTCCAAAACCACTTTTAGCAAAACAGGAAGTGCTATAGTAAGCCAGACTTACTCCCTCCCTTTATTCCATTGGGGCGGGGGGGGGATGGAGAAAGAGAGGGGGAGAGAGAGAGTGAGTGTGTGTGGCCAGGGGGAGGACTCTCTGGGCTGATACGAGCAGAAGCATGTAAGCCCCCCCACTAATCAAGAGACAGAACATGCTCCTCCTAAGCAATGCTGGTTACACACCCACACAGAGCACACCTGCAACAAAAAGCCCAGTAACACACATCTAAGTTCACCACGCCCTCTCCTCTCAAAGCTGCTTGTTGTTTCCTCCATTGGTGGCCAAGGCCATGCAGCAGCGTCAGCTAGAAGTGGGCTGCTTCCCCTCAGTTTAGAGTGCAGCAACCCCTGTCCAACTCCCGAATTAATTACACAAGGCAAACATCAAAATTTCCAAGCTTGGCTACAAAATTTTCTGAGCAGGTATAAATAGTAATACTTAAAGACACAAATTAAAAAAAAAAACCACAACAAAACATCCTGGTTGTAGTTGGAAGGGTATGCTGGAGATCATAGTGTCCAACCCCTCTGCTCAAAGCAAGGTCAACTAAAACAGGTGGCAAAGGACCATCTGCAGTCAGAATTTTGGTGCTCTCCATTGATGGTGCCTCCTCTGTTTGATCACCCTTGCAATTGTTAAAGGGAAAAAAAGGGGTTGTTTTTTTTGTTGTGTCCGTGTGTCCCCCCCCGTATTTACATGGAATTTACATATTTCAATTTGTGGCTATTGCCTCTTGCCCTTTTACTGCCCTGAGCACTACTGAGAGGAGCCTGGCTCTTTACTGCCTCCCCCTTCACTTTGTCCTCCCAGGGCTGAACAACCCCAGCTTTCTCAGCCTCTCCTTTGAAGTCAGATGCTCCAATCACTTAATTGTCTTGGTGGCCCTTTGCTGGACACGCTCTGGTACATCCGCATCTGCCTTGTACTGGGGAGCCCAGAACAGCTGTGGTCTCATCAGTGCTGAATGGGGCAGGGGATGGGGGTGTGGAGAACAGCCTCTCAGTCTGCTGGCAGTGCTCTTCCTAATGCAGCCCATGGGTATCCCTGTCCACCTTGGCTGCAACCAAGGGACCTCATGGGTATCCCTGTCCACCTTGGCTGCAAGGTGTCCAACGGGACAACTCCCAGGTCCTTTTCTGCAGAGCTGCTTTCCAGCCAGGCAGGCCCAGCCTGTACAGGTTACTCCTTCCCAGGTGCAGGACTGTGCGTCTCCCTTTGTTCACAGTTGTGAGATGCCCGTCTGCTCATCTCTCCAGCCTGTTGACATCCCTCTGAGTGACGGCACGGCCATCCGGTGTATCAGCCACTCCCCTCGGTTCTGTGTCATCTGCAAACCCGCTGAGGGTGTGCTCAGTCCCATCATCCAGGTCATTAATGAAGATATTACACAGTATTGGTCCCAGTACTGACCCCTAGGGTACACCACTAGGGACTGACCTCTAGCTGGACTATGTGCTGCTGAACTTTTTGAGCACAGCAGTTCAGCTAGTTTGCAGTCCGCTTATCTAGCACATACTTAATCAGTTTGTCTATGAGGATGTTAGGGAAGACAGTCAAAAGCCTTACTAAAGTCAAGGTAAATAACATCCACAGCTCTTCTCTCCTCTGCCAAGATATTTATCTCACCATAGCAGGCTATCAGTCATATTGATTAAGGATGATTTCCCCTTTGTAAATCCATGCTGACTACTTTCACTCACCTTCTTGTCCTTAATGTGTTTGGAAATGGCTTCCAGGATTATTGGCTCCATCGCCTTTCCAGGGACTGAGGTGAGGCTGATGAGCCTGTAGTGCTCCAGACTCTCCTTCTTGCCCTTCTTGAACACAGGAGTGACATTTTCTTTCTTCCAGCCCTCGGGAACCTCCCCCGATGCCCATGACCTTCCAAAGGGTACCGAGTGTGCACTGGCCAGCTCCCTAAGCATCCATGGGTGCATCCCCTCAAGTGCCATGACGTTGTCTAAGTCCAGTTTGTCTAAGTGTTCCCCTAACCTCATCCAGCTCTGCTGGGGGAAATCTTCCTTCTCCAGACTTTCCCACTCGTCTTAGGGACCTTGAATTCCTGAAGGCAAGTCCTACCAGTAAAGGCAGAGACAAAGGCAGCACTGAGTGCCTCAGCTATTTCTGTGTCCTCTGTCAGCAGGTCCCCTGCTCCACTAAGCACAGAGGGCCCACATTTTCCTCAGTGTTCCTTTTGCTGCCGATACACCTGCAGAAGCCTTTCTTGTCCCTCACCAGATTAAAATAAAGTATTTCTAATCAAAACCTAGAACAAAGATAAGGTTATCTGGAATATGAAAAACACTCATGGAAAAAAACTCTGAGCAACATAACCAATATTGAACACCAGTAAAGAGAGCAGTGAAACACCAGTCCGATATGCCATCTCAATTCAAGAGAAATATTTATTGTTATTAATGCAGAAATGCTTGTCCAGCTTAAGTTCCTTTCCAGGACTTTTCCTTAGGACTGAGAAAATAAGCAAGTTGTTGGTTTTTTTTTAAACTCATACACCCTCTACTGGACATTATATCCTACTGCTGCAAGAGGATAAACATGATTACCAAGGGAATGTTTGTTTCAAAAGACTACAATCCTCTTTCTCTTACTTTCAAAATCACTTCAGCTCAAATCTCTTTTCAGGTCTTTGCCAATAAAATACATAGTACAATTTAAATCTACAGATATATTCACAGTTGCAAAACAGCACAGAAAAGATTCAGGTTTTCCTCTTGCTCCTTGCTGTAAATACATGAGCGTCACTCCCCTTTCAATTTCCAGACCAAGGAAGTCCATAAACAGGACTCAGCCACGGTATTCCGGTTAAGTTGCACTGAAGTCAGTGCAGCTACTTGGGTTTGCGTTAGTGGAGGTGAAAGGAGAGCCATGTGACTCTAAAATTTAGATATTGCACAGGAAGGGAATGGCATAAAAGCAATTGATTTTTTCCAGCATTAAGTTTAAAAAAAGACACTTTCTTTTCTCCTTTGTTGGCACAGGAATCAACATTTTGCAGCCTACAGAAAATGCACATAAGAAACCATTAGGAAAACGGACAAGATAAGCTTGCTAGAAAAAAGCCAGTTCGTCATGCTTAGTCTTGCTGCTCTGGTAACTGTGGAGACTCAGCGGCTTATTGTCGTGAGGAAGGCTTCTGAACACCCGCAGGTGCATGAACTCATCATTGCCAACATGGACCTGCAAAGCATGAAAACCAGTGAGTTCCATGGAGTACCAGCAGCCTTCAGCAGGAGGGATGGTGTAGATTTGTCTGTTTTGAGGATGGAGGAGCAGAGAGGCAGTAAGAACAACCATCGCCTCAGTGGTTGTTGTTTTAAACAACAGCGGTCTTGTTTTAAACCAGGCCGGGAGTCACGACTTTGTGGAAATACCACCTAATCCTTCCATGCTTGTTAATCCTCCCTATGCCTGAGATAGGGGGTATACAGGTAGGGAATCAGAGTTGCGTAAAGCGATTAATATATTAAATACATGCAAAATGCTCTAATCTTATCTGGCACAAGCAGCACTTCAACGCTTTGATCACAGTTGCTTGGTTTTGCGTGTGGCATCACTACAGGCCAAGTCAGAGCAGGCTTGATACTTCGCTGTATCTTTACACATCTGGACCTCATTTAATGCAATGTTAGTGCTCAACATCACAGATGTGCAATTATCCCCAAAACCAAGTTTCACAAAATAACTAAAAAGTAAAAGTCATTATGAAAACAGAGAAGTACTCTTATCTCCATTTAATACAGGCAGGGAGATGGGCTGGGAGGTGGGGGGGTGGATTTTTCTTTTTTTTAAATGCACA